TCGAGAGAGGTTCTCCTCCCCCTCTACTCTGGCCTGGTGAGGCCGCATCTGGAATATTGTGTCCAGTTCTGGGCCCCTCAGTTCAAGAAGGACAAGGAACTGCTTCAGAGAGTCCAGTGCAGGGCCACAAAGATGATTAAGGGAGTGAAGCATCTCCCTTATGAGGAAAGGCTGAGGGAGCTGGGTCTCTTTAGCTTGGAGAAGAGGAGACTGAAGGGAGATCTCATTAATGTTTATAAATACGTAAAGGGTGACTGTCATGAGGATGGAGCCAGGCTCTTCTCAGTGGCATCCAATGGTAGGACAAGGGGAAATGAATATAAGCTGGAACATAGGAGGAAGCTTAAACATGAGGAAGAACTTCTTCCCAGTAAGGGTAACAGAACACTGGAACAGGCTGCCCAGAGAGGTTGTGGAGTCTCCTTCTCTGGAGATGTTCAAAACCCGCCTGGATGCATTCTTGTGTGATCTGATCTAGGTGGTCCTGCTCCGGCAGGAGGATTGGACTAGATGATCCTTTGAGGTCCCTTCCAATCCCTAACATTCTGTGATTCTGTGAAATGCAGCAAGGCTTAATGGCGTTCAGTTTCTCTTCACCACTCCTTCCCCATTCTAGGAAGAAGTTCTCTCTCAGCCTCCTAAACAGTGCAACTGGGACAATTAACGCCTTCCTGTATGTAGATCAATATTGTATTAAGCGCATCAGCTAGCTCTACATAACTCTGTTACACTTGCTTTCTGAAGATCTGGTACTAGGGAAGCTATGGCCACTCTGGGTTATGATGAAAGCACCTTCTAGACACCAACAAGCAGGATCTGGAAGAGATAATGTAATTGTTTTAATTGCCTATTCTGACTTTGAGATGGCAGTGCTAGTGATTTCTGCATGCAGTGAAGGTTCAAGGCCTATGAAATCCTCCAGCCTATTCGAAGAACTTGCTTATTTCAGTTGTCCTGTTTTAAAGGTCTCTGGAGAGAGTCTTGCCCAAAAAGTTAATTTTAGACTCTGACGGGAGAGGGGGAACATTTCACTTGTCCCAGAAGAAGCATGACCTCAGCATAACCCCACAATACCACTAATATCAAGGGTTATCTAAGGACTCTAGAACTGAAGGCAGTTGGCAGAAAGACGGACAAAAATAAGTCAGCCAAGTCGAGACTTCAAGCCCCAGGTAACCAAGCAAACAGCTTGGTCCAGACCATCCCTTTGGCACAGCTGATTCAGTATCTGGTTTCACTGGAAGTTAAGAAAAATCAGCTGAGTAAGCTTATCCAAAGCAAACAGAACTGATTCTTAACCTGTGAGCTCAGTGCTCTTTGGCACAGAGTTCTGGCACCAGCTTTCAGAGCTCAGCACCACAGAGGACAATCAGGCAGACCAGCTGCAGGTTTCCCAAGAACCTTCCACTCACTGTTCCTATTTACAAGTACAATGTCAGTGGTTGGTGTTGGGACAAATGCCTTCTCTAAATCCATCAATTCACTTGCTACTGCTCTGAACAGAAGCAGCGAGACACCAAGCGCAACACACTTCTATGTGATGACCAGTGTTGCTTTTTATCAGACCAAAATGTACTGGGCAGATTCATTCCACAAACAGTAACTTGAAACAAGGCTTGCAACACCAAGCAGTACTGTACTGACCCATAACATGAAATACTTTAGGCATGGCCAATGCTGCTTAAGTCCGATTACCCTTCCCAGTCGACTCAGGAAATGAAGTGTGGGAAACCACCTTTGGTCAGAAGGGTGCATGCTATACTCAGCACTGTTTGTCATAAATAAGATACCTGAGGAAAAGTGAACACGCTAGAAATTTTCTGTGTCTTGAAGCCAAGTGGGCCATGAACAGCTGCCTACACTAAATGGTAATTTTCTGAGGTTAAGTGACAGAATGCTATCCTGGAAAGAATAAGGAAACAATCACTAATATTCACATCTATTAAACAAAATCTCAATATTTTAAGAGTTCTTAAAATTAAAAATTTGTAAACTCTTATTATCAGTAACTAGTTTTGTTTGCCTTTCATCTCCTTCCACTGTCAATGCTTACATAAGAGTACCTTGTGCTACTAGAACACAAGTGACTGACTAGTTGTACCAAGATTCCTGCACACCTCAGTCCTCCTTTGGCCACCCAAACAAACTCACAGGTGAGATGTGGCCACATCATCCTATCTACTGATATTTCCAGAAGATAAAAGGTGAGTGGTAACCAAGGAAGAATGTGGACAAGCAACTCAGGAGCTGACACAAAGGACTTCGAGTTTTTACCTTGTAAATACAGAGTGGTCTTTTTGATCCAAGACAATAATAATATCCCCTGGCTCTAGTCCTGGCTCTTGGTCCCCTTCACCATGGAATGTTATTTTCTGACCATCCTTCATTCCTATTGCAAAAACAAGCAAACATACCTTTTTCATCATTTAAAGTGAAAAACAGCAGTAAGAAAGATTTTTGTAGTCACAAGCTGGTACCAGGAGGTCTCTGGATCTTTAAATTAGAGCATCACAACCTTCTCTTGAAGCATTCATAAATTTTTTTCAATCCACTCACATGTCCAACCGATCTTAGTGGCGCCAACCTGAACTATGTCTCAAAATCATTAAGCTTAATTGTAGTGCAAAACAGTCACCTGCCAAGCTGAAGTCTTTAAAAGAAACCTTGGCAAAACAGCTTTCATCACATGCACAGGCACTAAAAAGAAAACAGAAACACTGCATACAAAATACATTTTGAAAGCAAGCGACCAACCAGCTTCTTCAGTTTTATAGACATATGTGGCAAAGCTACTTATGAAACGTGATCTCAGTGCCTGCTCAGTGCAAGAAGCACTCTCCCTAAGACTAGCCATCATGTAAGAGACCCACTTCACCCACACACAAGTCTCTCCACCATAAATTCTAGTTGCCCCATGGTAGCTCAGTCTGGTTTTCTATAAGGAAGAGAGAAGAAACTCTTCTCAGTGATTTATGTCAGTAATATATGCCTTCTAGCCCTCATACTTAGTGTTACTGCAGGATTTTCCCTGTTAAAAACAAACTGAGGCATTGCGTAAGGTTTTCTTGCACATACAATAGCTGCAGGTGACAGGCACAAGCCTGTAGAAGCCACACACTTGTCAGCTCGCTCACTCTTACAAGTTGCACTACTCCAGAGACTTCTCCCACCGGCTTTTGAACAGCCTCCTCAACAGAGATGCATTTGTCATTCAACACTCACGTTCTCCCATCACTGTGAGGGTTTGTGTATTGAGCCCATTTTGCCATGAGGCGAAGAGTACCTGCACCGAGCAGCACTGTCAGGGTTGCACAGCAAACAACAGTTCTAAGCATGAGAGGCTTAGCACTGTCTCTGCACCCTATTACTATGGCAGACCTGGTTCCCCTTCACACTGAAACACAGTAGAAGTGATCGGAGTCTGCAGGGCTTCCCCTACAGGCAGGGAAAAATCATTAGGCAAGTTGAGCCAACAAGTGATTAGTTTTACTCTAATTGGTCCAGCTACCTGATAAAGACTTGCGCCTACGAGGCTGCTCAAAAATAACTCACTGCTTACAATACTGCAGGTTTCAAAATTTGTTCTTAGTTACGTGCACAGGTATTAGATATGAACATAGAAGTAATCAATCTTCCCTAAGAACAATTCCACTACTTTTTAAAGGCAGCAACAGGCAATTTTACTGTATATATATTCAGCAGTGTTACTCACCAAATCAACACCATGCATTTGCTAAAGCTTGTTTTAGTGCTTCAAAGTCAGTCAGTACATCCGAGTTCAATACTTCATCTTAGTAAGACACCTCACCTTTGTCAATGTGAACTTCTAGTATCTTCTTCTCTCTAACAATTTTTCTGCCAGTGCAGCTCTTACATCGGTCCTTGGGGCTGATACGCTCCCCGTGCCCCTGACACTCCATACACACGGACTGGATTTGTTGCACCATTCCTGGCCCAATCTGGTGAATTCTGATCTGCATGCCTGTTCCTCTGCAATTAGGACAGCATTCTACCGCACCTTTCTTACCACCACGACCTGAGGAGAACAAAAATTGGAGATGGATGGTTATGCACTGCCAGAAAAAAACCAATCCAAAAGCTTTAGGAGCAACTTGTGTTTAGTCTCAGTTCCATAGTTACCTTCACATTTGTCACAGATAACATTCTTCTGCAGTGCAAGTTTCCTTGTTGCACCATTGTACATATCTTCTAAACTTACTGACAACTGATGAACCACATTTTTGCCTGTAAAAGAAAAACAGTTATTTACTCTAGTTTGAAAGTTTGGTTTACAAGCAACAGGAAACTTCCCATGTCACTATGCTCAAGTCATGACAAACCAAGACTATGAACACTAACATCGTATTTTAATCCAGCTTTTTCTAGTTTTGTTGGTAGGAGTCAATAGCTCCTTCCTATCTCATGTCAAATTAGGCTACAATTCTAATGGCTTTGTCAATAACACTTCTCTGTTAGAATAAGTCAGAGACTCTTCTGTGAAAGTACAGACATTAACAGAAACAAAACATGCAGAACCTTAGACATTTAAGTTTTATAATGCAGGACTTAAGTTTTAACAAAGTGACTAAATGTATCTCCGACAAGGAAGTGGGAGATGCTCTCTAGAGTCAGCAGAGTACTTCCTCTCACCAGGGGACTTTCTGGAGACTGAAATGAGTAATTATTTTTTACACTCAGGATTTACTTAGAACTTAAGCTCATTTTACAGGCTTAATTTTGGGAAGGATAACAAGTTCTGGCTTACTAGGTATACTTTGATACAACACTGTAGCATTTTGATACAAACCCTTTTTTCTTGTCTTTGTCACCAGGTCTCTACTAAGAAGAGACAGGGTCAGCACTACTCTACTCTTAACCAGTTTAATTGACACTAGAGTCTTTCCCAATGTGATTAATCTGGACTTCAACTCAATGCCACTGAACAGCACAGGAAAAAAAAAAGTTTCATGGACTGAATTTGATTTGGCTATCTTATTTAGATGCAGTTACTTATAATTAAAGACAAAATTCACATTTAGACACTACACATATTGGGGTTTAGCTAAAAAAAAAAAAAAATAATCATTTTAAGATATGTCACCGTTCCATTTCCCGTTCAGCCTATTAGGCAGCTGGGTTTATGCTCAGCTACAGGCTTTCCAAACATGAAATCTGGTTAGCTATTAACCTGAGGCAACGCGCAAGAGACCACATTACCACTGCATGAACCAAATGCCCTCCCCCACTCGTGTCAGGCGCTACTGGCTAGGGACAACGTTTTCGCCGGTTTTGAAATCAAGCCTGAAGCTTCATTTTAACGCTATTTAAAGTGTTATATCTGCTGCATGCTCCTCAGAGACTTTGATCCTGTCTACCAGACTGATCACGTTGTAAAGCCTGGGAAGACATGGGAACATGGCACGTTACCTCGTCTCTCTCTCTGCATCCTCCCACCGCCGCCAAAGAACATATCGAATATGTCCATGGGTGACCCGAAACCACCACCAGAGCCACCCTCTTTGATGGCCTGCTCGCCTCCTTTGTCATACAGGTCCCTCTTCTTCGGGTCCGACAGTACTTCGTAAGCTTGGGAAATCTGCTTAAACTGCGAGAAACACACATCGTGCTTCAGGCTCCCGGGCCGCGAAACCCCGAA